TTGAGCCACCGCGCCCGGCCAATTCTTTTTTTATATATATTGTTAACTTTTTAAAATGGTAAAATATATACAACATAGATTTGCCATTTTAACAATTTTTTAGCGTACAATTCAGCGCCATCAAGTACATTCACAATATTGTGTGACCATTGTATTATTTGCCAAACTTTCTCAATACCTTAAACAGAAACACAGGAACCATTAAGCAATGACTCCCTGCTATGGTTTGGATATTTGTCCTTTCAAACCTCCTGTTGAATTTTAATCCCCAGTGCGGTAGTACTGGGAAGTGGGGCCTAATGGGAGGTGTTTGGGTCATGGGGGCGGATCCCTCATGAATACATTAATGCCCTCCCTTGGAGGTGAATGGGTTCTTGCTCTGTGAGTTTTCACTAGAGCTGTTTGATAAAAAGAGCCTTGTACCTCCCACCTCTCTCTTGCCTTCTCTCTGGTCACGTGCCCTCTATACAGCCAGCTCCCCTTTGCTTCTTCCATTAGCAGAAGCAACTTGGAACCCTCACCAAATGCAGATGCCCAATCTTGAGCTTCTCCAGACATCAGAATCATGACCTAATAAACCTTTTTCCTTTATGAATTACACAGCCTTGGGTATTCCTTTATAGCAACACAAAAGAGACTGAGACTTCTCCTTGTTCCCTTCCCCCATTCCCTGGGAATGTCTAATCTGCTTTCTGTCTCTATGAATTTCCCTATTCTGAGTATTTCACATAAGTGGAATCATATTATACTTGCCGTTTTTTTTCTGGCTATTTCACTTAGCAGAAAGTTTTCAGAGTTCATGCTATAGCATATGTCAGAATATCACTCCTTTTTTTGAGTGAATAAAAAGGAATGTCCTTTGCGTGTGTGTGTGTGTGTGTGTGTGTGTGTGTGTATATATATATATATATATATATATGCATTTTATCGCTTCTTGGCCTTTTGGCTAAGATCAAGTGTATATACCACATTTTGTGTATGTTTATGTTGACAGACAACTTGGGTTGTTTTCATCTTTTGGCTATTAGAAAATGCTACAATGAACAATAGTATACATGTTTCTGAGTGGCTGATTTCAAAACTTTTGGGTGTAAACCTAGCAGTGGAATTGCTAGGTCATATAATACTTCTCTAGGTTTTGAGGAACTGTTTATCTTTTTGTTTGACAACGTCACCATTTTACAGTCCCACTAGCAGTGTACAAGGTTCCAGTTTTTCCACATCCTTGCCAACACTCATTATTTTCTGTTTATTCTTAGCATGGCCATCCTAGTACATATGAAGTTGTATTTCATTGTGGTTTTGATTTGCATTTCTCCCGTGATTAATGTTGTTTAGCATCTTTTCATATGCTTATCGACCATTTGTATGTCTTCTTTGGAATAATGTCTGTTGAAGTCCTTTGCCCATGTTTTGGGGTTGGGGGGGAATGAAGTTTTGTCTTATTGCCCAGGCTGGAGTGCAATGGTGCAATCTTGGCTTACTGCAACCTCTGCCTCCACGTGCAAGTGATTCTCCTGCCTCAGCCTTCCAAGTAGCTAGCTGGGATTACAGGCACCTGCCACCACGCCCAGCTAAATTTTTGTATTTTTAGTAGAGACGGGGTTTCACCATGTTGGCCAGGCTGGTCTCGAACTCCTGACCTCAGGTGATCCACCTGCATTGGCCTCCCAAAGTGCTGGGATTACAGGTGTGAGCCACTGTGACTAGCCCCTTTGCCTATTTTTAAATTGGGTTGTCTTTTGTGTTTTTGAGTAGTAGAGTTCTTTATATATTCAGAATATGAAACTTCTATCAGCTATATGATTTCCAAATATTTTCTCTTATCATTGTCTTTTCACTTTCTAGATAATGTTCTTTGATGCACAAAAATTTTAGTTTGTTTGAGACAGGGTCTCATTCTTTTGCCAAGGCTGGAGTGCAGTGGTGCAATCGTAGCTCACTGCAGCCTTGACCTCTCAGGCTTAAATGATCCTCCCACCTCAGCCTCCAAAGTAGCTGGGACTATAGGCATGCACTACCATGCCTCACTAGTTTTTTAATTTTTTTGTAGAGATGGGGGTCTCCCTGTGTTGCCCAGGCTGGTCTTGAGCTCCTGAGCTGAAGCAATTCTTCCACCTTGGCCTCCCAAATTGCTGGGATTGCAGGTGTGTGCCACCACATGCAATCAGCTTTAACTTTTGATTTAAGTTAAAAATAAGTCCAATTTTTTTTTTCTTTTTTTTTTTGCTGCCGTATCTAAAAATCCATTGTCAAATCCAAGGTCATGAGGATTTACCCCATGTTTTCCTCTAAGAGTTTTGTGGTTTTAGCTTATATTTAGATCATTGAGATAACTTTTGCATATGGTGTGAGGTAGGTGAGGTTCAACTTAATTCTCTTGTGTATGAAAATCTAGTTTTCCTCATAATATCTGTTGAAGAGACTATTCTTTCCCCACCAGTTAGAGTTGGCACCCTTGCCAAAAATCAGTTGGCCACAGATATGTGGATTTATTTCTGAACTCTCAATTCTTTTTTTTTTTTTCAAAGTATAAATTCATACTTTGTAGGAAATGTAGTTTACAAAACAATATGAATCACTACCCCTAATTCAGGTGACCCATTTTCCCCCAAAGGGGTACATTTAGGTCCTATTCCGCTGGGCGGGGTGAAAGGATTCAGTAGTCTTCCAGGTTACCAGTAAATTCTTCTCCCAAGGCTGGACCATCAAGGCACAGTCTGCATAAGGCTCACCCCATCAGGCCCTAGGCTGGGCTGCTTGCCCTGTAGGCAGGAGTGGGGGTGAGACTGCACCACTGCATTCCAGCCTGGGTGACTAGAGCGAGACCCTATCTCAAAAACAAAAACAAAAAAAAGAAGGATTTTTCTTCGAATTTCTGACAGCCTCTAGTACAGTATCTCTTGATAGCAGGCTCAAATAAATGTTGAATAGAAAAACTGAAGGCTGGACATTTATCATAAGAAAACTTTTGTTGTGAAGGTACATCTCCCTGTGAGAAAACAAATAGAGCATAGCTGCTGCAAATCACATAAAACCACAGAAAAATTTAAAAAACAGGTACGACCAGGTGTGGTGACTCATGCCTGTAATCTGAGAGAGGCCAAGGCGGGTGGATTACTTGAGCCCACCAATTTGAGACCTGCCTGGGTAACATGGTGAAACCCCATAATCTACAAAAAATACAAAAATGAGCTGGGTGCGGTGGTGTGTACCCATAGTCCCAGCTACTTGGGAGACTAAGGTGGGAGGATCCTTTGGGCCCAGGAGGTTGAGGCTGCAGTGAGTGGCGATCACACCACTGCACTCCAGCCTGGGCAACAGAATAAGACCCTGTCTCAAAACAGCTATGGAGGAAGTAAATTGACTTTTGTGTGAGGATATTCTGAAAATGAAAAATCAGCCGACGGTCCAAAGTATGTTAAAGTCTGTTTAAGTAAACATCAATCTCTGCTTTAGTGCCTGTTGAGGTTTTAAAATAATTATTCATATTCACTTTCTTTCAGACCTTTAGCCTAAATCTCAATTTGATTTCCTGTTTCCCTAAAGACTCACTAGTGGGCATATTTTTATATGCATTTGATGAGCTAACTAGTGGTTTTTAATGATTTTCCCTGATATGAATGGCCAAAAAACAGATGTCAGTCTGTTAACCTGTTGCATTTGTGGCTCACGCCTGTAATCCCAGCACTTTGGGAGGCTGAGGCGGGCAGATCATGAGGTCAAGAGATTGAGACCATCCTAGCCAACATGGTTAAACCTCATCTCTACTAAAATACAAAATTAGCTGGGCATGGTGGTGCACACCTGTAGTCCCAGCTACTTGGGAGGCTGAGGCAGGAGAATTGCTTGAACCTGAGAGGCAGAGGTTGCAGTGAGCTGAGATCACGCCACTGCACTCCAGCCTGTCGCCTGGTGACAGAACGAGACTCTGTCTCAAAAAAAAAAAAAAAAAAAGTGTTTTCTACGGGTGCTCTCCTACTTTTCAGCCAGAAGAGCAATTTCAATTATATTTTAAAGTGGTGAGATTGGACTGGAACATGTAAAGTGACAGAGGACACAAGACTAGTGAAACTGCTGGGATAGGACAGAAGCCGAAAAGCAGGAGGCAGAGTTGATTTGGGATCTTTTTCTTAAATATTAGATGGGATTTGTTGATGGGAATTACTTTTTGCAGTAAGATCATTTGAAAAGTTTACTCTGTGTGCATTATTGGAAACCTCTACAGCCTTGTTAGAAAGTTGGACAGGTAAAAGAACCCAGGACTGGCAGTGGAGATGGGATTTGGAGGGATATGTGTTACTGATTTCCCCATAATGAAGGAGAGAGGCTAGACCAGGTAATTTCATTGTTTTTTGTTTTCCAGTGCTGATAATTTTATGACTCGCTCATATTTTGGTTACGGCTGTTATAAGATAGGGGTCACTTTAATCCTTGCATAGAAAGCACTTCTTAAAGTTAATTTCTGCCTTTTAAAATGGTACAAAATTTGAAGTATTGCAACCTTTTATAAGCTAAATATACTTTTAATGTTCCAAGGAATAATTTTTGTTTCGTCGTCGTTTTTTTGCTTTTGGAACAGGGTCTTGCTGTGTTGGCCAGGCTAGAGTGCAATGGTGTGGTCATGGATCACTGCAGTCTCAAACCCCTGGACTCAAGCGATCCTCCCGCCTCAGCCTCCCTAGTAGCTGGGACTACAGTGACATGCCATCACACCTAACTAATTTTTTTGCCATCACTATGTTGACCAGGCTTGTCTCGAGTTCCTGGCTTTAAATGATTCTCCTGTCTCAGACTCCCAAAGTGCTGGGATTATAGGGATGAGCCACCATGCACACTCCAAGGAGTAATTATAAAAATATTTTATAATTATGAACCATTTATAAAAAGTTTTTTTAGAGTTTTGCTAAAAATAATGGATAGCACCAACAAGAAAACTGAAATATTACTAACTATATTGAAGCAGCATTTTTCTTAATCAGAGGAAAACAGGCAAAGAGAGTAACAAAATTTTATATTGATTCATAAACTTGTTTAATAAGAAACATCAATTTTGATACATAGTTATATAAGTAGAATTAGAATTTGCTAGATAATTGCTTCAGTACTTACTTTTATCTTTGTTTATAATTCTCTCCTATCAGGTACACTTTCAGTTAAAAAAAATTGCTTTTTTTTTTTTTTTTTCCTGAGATGGAGTCTAGCTCTGTCACCAGGCTGGAGTGCAGTGGCATGATCTTGGCTCACTGCCACCTCCGACTTCCTGGTTCAAGTGATTCTCCTGCCTCAGCCTCCCGAGTAGCTGGGGTTACAGGCATGCGCCACCACATCCAGCTAATTTTTGTATTTTTAGTAGAGCTTCACCATATTGGCCAGGATGGTCTCAAAATCTCCTGACCTCGTGATCCACCTGCCTTGGCCTCCCAAAGTGCTGGGATTACAGGCGTAAGCCTCCACGCCTGGCCGAAAAATTGCAATTTTTTAGGTAGTCCTTAAATAATTATTGAATGTCTGAATCATTGTTCACAGTTAAGAGAAGAAAAAAATGTTTTAATGTGATCATAATCTCTAATCTTTCTTCTAACTGGTGGTATTGCCTTTTATACTTCTCCATGGAAAGGTATTATAATAAGAGTTTGTATCTTAGTGTGATTTAGTAGTATTTGGAATTCGTTATAATAGAAAACAGAGCAGTTATTTTAGGTTTGAATGCCTGCATTAATGAACTTACTAGAGTCTCTGAAAATTATAGAGCAAAACTTGAATAGTACCTCTAAATACATTCTAATTTAAAAAGGATGCCTTATCAAAGTTTGTATTGTGCTGTTTGGCTTATTTTATATATATGTACATATAATATATAAATATTATATTACATGTATGTATAATATTTATGATATGTAAATATGTATATAAATATATATATTCTTTATATATACTCCAGCCTAGATTGACAGAGTGAGACCCTGTCTCAAAACAGATACTTGTGTCTATATATATCGCTATGTATATATACCTGTCACCCAGGCTGCAGTACATATAATTATACTATCTATGTATCTATAATATATATATCAGTCTCTCTCTCTCTCTCTCTCTCTCTCTCTCTCTCTCTATATATATATATATATATATATATATATATATATATATAAAACACATATATATCTGTTTTGAGACAGGGTCTCACTCTTGTCACCCAGGCTGGAGTGCAGTGGCACGACCACTGCAGCCATGCACTGCAGCCTCTAACTCCTAGGCTCAAACGATCCTCCCACCTTACCCTCCCGAGTAGCTGGGACTACAGGTGCATACCACCATGCCTGGCTGGCGTATTTTATTGCTATGTATTCTTTTTGTTTTTATTGTTGTATGATACCCTCTGGTTTCCTAGGGTATAATCCTCGAGCTTCTTTTTTTGTATCTATTTTTTTTTTTTTTTTGAGACGGAGTTTCGCTCTCGTTACCCAGGCTGGACTGCAATGGCGCGATCTCGGCTCACCGCAGCCTCCACCTCCTGGGTTCAGGCAATTCTTCTGCCTCAGCCTCCTGAGTAGCTGGGATTACAGGCACGTGCCACCATGCCCAGCTAAGAGCTTCTTAAGAGTAGAAAATTTCGGCCGGGCGCGGTGGCTCAAGCCTGTAATCCCAGCACTTTGGGAGGCCGAGGTGGGTGGATCACAAGGTCAAGAGATCGAGACCATCCTGGTCAACATGGTGAAACCCCGTCTCTACTAAAAATCCAAAAATTAGCTGGGCATGGTGGCGCGTGCCTGTAATCCCAGCTGCTGAGTAGGTTGAGGCAGGAGAATTGCCTGAACCCAGGAGACAGAGGTTGCGGTGAGCTGAGATTGCGCCATTGCACTCCAGCCTGGGTAACAAGAGTGAAACTCCGTCTCAAAAGAAAAAAAAAAAAAAAAAAAAAAGAGTAGAAAATTTCACAAATTTGTGTGGTGCTAATTTTAAAAAACAGGAATTTATATTAGGTACAAATATTTACCTAGTTTTTATTCTGAAATCCTTAACTTTTCTGGCCTGTTGGATTGCTTTTATGAGTGCTAATTTCTTCTTTAATAACTTTTTGGCTGGGTATGTGGTGGCACATGCCTGTAATCCCAGCACTTTGGGAGGCTGAGGTGGGTGGATCACTTGAGACCAGGAGTTCGAGACCAGCCTGACCAACATGACAAAACCCTATCTCTACTGAAAATACAAAAAATTAGCTGGATTTGGTGGTATGTGCCTATAATCCCTGTAATTCAAGAGGCTGAGACATGAGAATCGCTTGAACACAGGAGGCAAAAGTTACAGTAAGCCAAGATCGTGTCACTGCACTCCAGCCTGGGGAACAGAATGAGGCTCTGTCTCAAAAACAAAAAGTTTTTTAAAAATTTGTGACTTCTGGCTGCTTCCATCCAGAGAGGGTTAGCAACCTCCCATTTTTCACCAGGAGACAGCATTCTTGAGCATCTGTAAATAACAGGCACTAAAGAAAGGGCTAAACTAGGGTAGATCTTGGAAGCAAAAAATAGTTGAATTTAGGATACTTTGGCAGGAGTGAAACTGTTAATCCCAAATCTTCAAATGTGAGGGTTTCCTATGCATGTGATTTTGTGTGCACTTCTGATTTTAGTAAAGCTTGATTAACGCTGCAGCCAGGTACTGTTTAGTTTATTGCATAGTACTGGGCTCTAGTTCTGGCTTGGATCCTGCTAGTGATGTGAGCAAGCCACATAACTTTTGTGGATTCATCATTGGCACTAGTAAATTAAATGGGCTTAAGTAATGGATAAATTAAGTTCACTCTTTGAGAGCAGACCAGCATATCCCTGTCTGCTTCTTGCAAACTCATCAGTTCTTTGAAGTTATCTAAACACACAAAGATATTAAAAATTATGTTCCACCATAGTGTAGCCTTCTAAAATAAAGATTAGATTTTAAATTAGTTATCACTTTAACAGTGATGTTCCCAGAAGGTGCATTGTGTTTATCCTGGAGTTTGATGTATTCCCTGACTCACTGCCTCATACCCTTGGGGCTTCTTGTGCTTCAGTTTGAGAAGCATGGGACACAGAGGATCTCTTAGGTATCTTGCAGATCTGATATGCTATAATACTTGCAATAAACTAGAGTTTGTTTTTTAGTTTTAATAAAGTATACCTTTAAGAAATTATAAATCTGTAACAGGGAAAAATATGACTGATTTGCATGATTTAACATCTTTCTCTGTAAATTAAAGATTACAGTTCTATTGTATGTAGAGGCTGTTTCATCATAAGCTCCATGTAATTTAATAAATGGATTGCAAAATTAGAAAAACCCTTTGTAGATGTCATCATTGTTGCTTTCAATCTTTCTTTGCTGCAATTCTGCTTTTTTCTTTTCTGGCTGCTAATTGGATTAAAGACTGTTTTTGCCAACCATGGCATCTGGAGATGACAGTCCTATCTTTGAAGATGATGAAAGGTAAATGTCTTCTATTGCAGTAAACTAGCCTTTGACATTTTCAAGACTGTTATCATTCAAAAGAGCAATTTATCCAAGCTACTCTGTTAAGAATACATTTTGTAAAATTGCAGATTGTGTGGTTCTGCTTTTGTGTGATTTAGAGCGGGAGTAGTAAATACCTGGCGTGGAGGTAGCCACCAGTAACATGGCAACTATTTCCGTAGAGCCTTGATGTGAGGTCTCCTCATATCTCTCAGCACAGAGTTCTTGGCAACCACTTCAAAATGGTATCATATCCATTTAAAATCTTCAACTGAGAGCATACAAAGATTAGGGTGAACAAAGAGGAAGATGTAGTTACGAGAACAGGCTTTGAAGCCAGAATCCTAGGTTTAAATCCTACCTCTGCCACTTAATGTCATTGAAACCTTAGGTAAACCCTTAGCCCCTCTAGCCTCATCTATAAAATAAGGATATTAATAGTACCCATCTCATGGTGATTCTGTGAGCTAATATATTTAAAGCTCTTAGAACAGTGACTGTCACACAGTTAATCACTTAATAACTGTTAGCTGTGATCATCGTTACTATAATAAATGATACTTCTGCCAAAGCTAAAAAGATTACCAATATCAAAATATTAATTAGATATTATATATGTATATGTCATTCACAGAGGATATATTAACATCAAAAATATATGTTGAAGTATATGCCAGAAACATCTGACAAACCAAATCCTTTATTTATTTTTTATTTTTGAGATAGTCTCACTCTTTCATCTGGGCTGGAACGTGGTGATGCAATCATGGCGTACTGTAGTGTCACCTCCTGGGCTCAGGTGGTCCTGCCACCTCAGCTTCCCAAGTAGCTGTGATTCCAGGCATGCACCATTATGTGTGGCTAATATTTTTGTAGAAACAGGGTTTCACCATGTTGCCCAGGCTGGTCTGGAACTCCTGGACTCAATCTGCCCGCCTTAGTCTCCCAAAGTGCTGGGATTACAGGCATGAGCCACCACACCCGGCCCCAAATCCTTTATTTTTTAAAATAAGATTTCCTGTATTAATGCCAAGAATGTTTCCCATAACATTTTAAAATTATTTTTATCTTTATTATAGAATATTTCTTCCATGACTTTTTTTCTTAGTATAATAAATTAAAACCTTTTTGTTAAAACAAATCCCTTGTATTAGTTTAAGTATGGGAGGTTTGGAGAGTTCTTGTTTTAGAGTGATTAGATCTGAAAAAGATAAATGAAATTAAATATCATGGTTTTTAAATGGGAGCTGGTAGGAGAAGAGTAAAGACTTTTTACTGAGCTTTCCATGCACTATACTGTAGTCAACCTAGAATACTAACCAGGATATACTGATGGATTCTTAATCCTATTAAGATGGATTTTTTAGACGTAATCGGACTATGTGCCCACATATAGTAGTTGTATCTTAAAGGAAGAGTGAATAAGAGGGAGAAAATAGTTACATGTACTGTGAGTAGAATTTCTTAGGTACTATCACTTTAATATTTTGAAATTTTAGAGGTTTTAATAATCTAATTTTCATCTTGGAAGGAGTAACTGGTTATTTAATTAGTATTTTGGCCCACTATAATTGGTTTATTTTATTCCTTTAGCCCTCCTTACAGCCTTGAAAAAATGACAGATCTCGTAGCTGTTTGGGATGTTGCTTTAAGTGACGGAGTCCACAAGATTGAATTTGAACATGGGACTACATCAGGCAAACGAGTAGTATATGTAGATGGGAAGGTAGGAAGAAAATATGTTACTTTGTAAAATATGATATATAGAGAAACGATTTTGTTAAAGTAGCATCTTCATATGTGAATTCAGGGCTTTTTTTTTCCTTATAGTCAATAATGTTTTTGATCCATGTCATTTTTCTGTGTAGAGCAAACTAATAATATTTATGGAATTCATGGAATAGAGTATGTAATATTTAACCTTAAAATGCTTTTATTTTCTAAAACCTTGGCATCATAAATAAATAAAATTATATCTAAATGGCATTGCCTTTGTTCACTTTACATTATTTCTAAAATTAAACATTAATTTTTCTTCCATTTGAATGTCTTAAATTTTTCTATTTTATTATGTAGGAAGAGATAAGAAAAGAATGGATGTTCAAATTAGTGGGCAAAGAGACATTCTATGTTGGAGCTGCAAAGACAAAAGCAACCATAAATATAGATGCTATCAGTGGTTTTGCTTATGAATATACTCTGGAAATTAATGGGAGAAGTCTCAAGAAGTATATGGAGAACAGATCAAAAACCACCAATACTTGGGTATTACACATGGACGGTGAGAACTTTAGAGTTGTTTTGGGTAAGTTAGTGCTGTTTCTGCAGAACTCATTGTTTTTTTTAAAAGATAATGTCTGTTTAATTCCTGTAACGATTCAGACCTTCTATGGAGCTTTGAAAAGGAGAGAGAGTGTACGTGCAGGTGTATTTCATTTGTTTAAAAACATTTTTAAAAATCTTTTTGTTTCCCACCTGCTTGGGATTGTCTAGCAGGTGTGTATATTGTCTAGCAGGTGTATTTCTAATGTGTCCTGTGTGAATGACACATTGATTTAATCCACCATTTTTTATATAAGATATCTTAAGCCAAGTTTTATAGGGATGGATTTGAGGATTATAAATTTAGGTTTTAAAAACATGTAACTGCTATGATCATATAGTGGTAAATAAATCGAAATAAAACAAACAAACAAACAAACATGTAACATTGCCAGGCGTGGTGACTCATGCCTATAATCCCAGAACATTGGGAGGCCAAGGTGGGTGGATCACCTGAGGTCAGGAGTTTGAGGCCGGTTTGGCCAACATGGTGAAACCCCGTCTCTACTAAAAATACAAAAATTAGCCGAGTGTAGTGGCACAAGCCTGTAGTCCCAGCTACTTGGGAGGCTGTAGCAGGGGAATTGCTTGAGCCCGGGAGGTAGAGGTTGCAGTAAGCTGAGATTATGCCATTACACACCAGCCTGGGTGACAGAGCAAGATTCCCTCTCAAAAAAAAAAAAATAAATAAATAAATTTTTTTTTTTAGAGTCAGGGTCTCACCATATTGCCCAGGCTGGTCTTGAACTCCTGGGCTCAAATGATCCCTTTGCCTCAGCATCCAAAAGTGCCGAGATTATAGGTGTAAGCAGCTGTGACCACCCTTCTTTTCATTCTTAACAACAATATTCTTGGGAGTCTGTTGCCCTCCCGTTTGAAAGATCCAAAACTTAATCAATTTGTATTGGGACTATAACTTTCTTAAAAGGTTGTTTTGTTTCATTATAGTTTTATGAACAAAGAACAAACACAGCTTCTTCAAATTTTACGAGAGTCTCAAAACCATGAAAGCCATGAAAAAGTGTTGGGTTTTAAAATATTAATGGAATTTTAGAGATCTGGTATATCAAATCTTTCCTAAAATAATAAATAGGAAAAGTTAACTTTATCTTTAAATCACAGAATAACTTTTAAAAATTTTATTTTATTTTTACAGAAAAAGACACTATGGACGTATGGTGCAATGGTAAAAAAATGGAGACAGCAGTAAGTTGACTATTTGATTACTCTAAGTGCCATCTGTCTAAGTTACCATTGAATTGTTGCTGCATTTCCTAATTACAGAGATTTTATAATGAACCAAAGTCCTCTTGATAAAAACAAAAAAGGGGTTAAGTACTCGTTACCCAGATTCCAAAACCTTTGCCAGACAGTACCTCGTTCCGTGAGTTTGGAAACAATTTATGTTCTTAGCTGGCACAAACTTCATACTCTCCTTTCCTGTCCTGGACCAGCCTCTATCCTCAAAAGAGCCCCTAGTTAAAAAATTATATCCCCAAAGGCTGGTGTTCTCTGGTGTTTAACCATTTTAAGTGGTGCATTATATACCACTGCTTCTCAAACTTTCATGCACAGAAATCGCCTGGGATCTTGTTAAAATGCTAATTCTAACATTTCCCTAGGTGCTGCTAATGCCACTGGTCCACAGATCACACTTTAGGAATGCTTTATACCATACACTCAAAGCAGATGGTTCTTTTCTGAAAGCAAGATTTTTGTAAAATGAGTGATACAGTATCAGATGATGTGAAGGTACTCAGACAGGAAAGGGCACTCTCATGAACCCCAGAGGACAAGTGGAACTTTAGACCAACAGTGCCAATGCAGGGAGAAAGAGGCTACTCCAGTCACTGTGGCCAGGCACACTGAAATCCCCATGTAGACTCCAGTGTGTTCAGCTTTTACTGTCAGGTGCTTGTATTAGTATGGCTGTGGACGGGGTGAATGGAGGAGTGAATTTCAAGCAGGAACGAAACAGTAATCGTGTGCACACGGGAGAGAGTGGGAAGCAGAAAGTAAGGGACTAGGAGATGAAATCACTGGATGCTAATCCCCAAGTCTTATGGGGTCTTCAGGACAAGTGGGGAGTGCTATCACCTGGTACCCACCTTTCATGCTGGCTCCAGATGTGAACATCAGAGCTGGTGTTAATGGGAAGCTCTCTTCTCTAGTCACATTTTGCATGTTGTTGCTTTTATCTCGTTTGTATAGTATAGGTGTAAGACACTGAGAAAAGGTGCTTTTGGTAGTTGGAGGAAAGGAGGTCTGAGATTCATTTGCTCAGAAGACCACCTAGAACCTACTTGGTCTGATAGCTGTTTCTGAGGAGGTGACAAAGCCAGAAATCAAAAATTACAAAGATAAAGCCACATGTGGTAGCTCAGGTCTGTAGTTGCCTCTTACTCGAGAGGCTGAAGTGAGAGGAACACCTGAGCCTAGAAGTTTTAGGCCAGCCTGAGCAACATAGTGAGACTCCATCTCTAAAAAAATTAATAAATTAATTAAAATTTAAAAGTTACAAAGATGAATACTTTTCTGTTTCTGAGTCCTGGAGAATTTAATTTGGGCTCACTCAAAATTGAGTGCTTGAGCTGCTCTCTGGGTTAAATCTACTGCTAGAGACTTGTTTTATGCAGAGAGGCTTGGAGAGCACTTCAGTATTTTGTGGCCCCCTTTGGAAAAACTCCAGTTACCACTAACATGGATCAGATACCTACTGTGTGTCTAATGCCATACCTAGTGGTTCTTCCTGTTCTTTCTTTCCTACCCTGGAATTCTCTATATGGAGAATCAGCACTTTGGAATCGCATTTCCTCCCACACTCAAGAAATTCTCCAGTGTACATGTAGAGGGAATGCTGTTTTACGGTATTAAGAATGTGGTTGTACTGGGTGCAGTGACTCATGTATGTAATCCCAGCACTTTGGGAGGCTGAGGCGGGTGGACTGCTTGAACCTAGGAGTTTGAGACTAGTCTAGGCAACATGGCAAAACCCCCCTCTACTAAAAATACAAAAATTAGCAGAATATGGTGGCACATGCCTGTAGTCCCAGCTACTTGGGAGGCTGAGGTGGGAGGATTACCTAAGCCCAGGGAGGTTGAGGCTGCAGTGAGCCAAGGTTGCGCCAATGCACTCCAGCCTCATTAACAGAATGTGAGACCCTGTCTCCAAAAAAAGCAGTTGTAACTTTGGGAGGCCAAGATGGGCAGATCACTTGAGGCCAGGAGCCCCTGAACACCCTGGGCAACATGGCGAGACCCTATCTCTACAAATTATTTTTTTTAAGTTAGCTGGGTATGGTGGTATGTGCCTGATTCCAATTGCTCAGGAGGCTGAGGCAAGAGGGTTGCTTGAGTCCAGGAGTTCAAGGCTGCAATGAATTGCAGTTGAACCCCTGTACTTCAGCCTGGGTGACAAGAGTAAGACCTTGTCACACACACAAAGAATGTTGTGGTTGTAGGAAGGTGAAAACAATGTTCATCCACGTCTTTGTTCTGTAGTAATTAACAGGAAACCACGCGTTTGGAAAATAGTTCTTTATAACCCAGTTGCGTTCTCATTGTAACTACAACCTAGTCTGCAGGGCAGTTTGGGCAGCTCCATATATGGGCAGCCCTCCCCAGTACTGTACATACCCACAACAAACTCATCTTGCTGCCTGTGAGTTACAGCTTTTCTTTTTCTTTCATCTCAAGGCATCATGCCAAAATTACATATTTGTCTAATTGCCAAGAAGCTACTTATATAGATTATATTACCTAACCCTTGCCTTTTCCTCCAAAGTCTTTTTCCAAGGCTCAGTGTTAAAAATGGGGACAGGAACACACTGCACCCAAGGACATGCTTGTGGTATTCAGCACACCTCCCATAAAGAGCCAGTGGCGACATTCTTCCCAGAGCTAGGAAAAGGCTTCTCTCCCTGAGGCATCCTGTGCCTTCTTTGGCTTGGTGTTGTTAACTGGGGCCCTTGTTCTAACTACTCTGGCTGCTAAGAAGTTAATAGCCAGGGTTTAAATCTGATTGTCAGTTTCTTTGCTTTCTGAAGTAAATTATTTTTTATCCTCAAAGTCTCTTCTTCTTTCCTTCCTTCCCTGTGCTGCCTGGCTCTAACCTTTTTACTCTAGACCACTGCTGCTCAATCAAAATATAATATAATATAATATGAGGCACAGATATGACCTTCATGTGTAATTTTAATTTATGTAGTATCCGCATTTGAAAAAAAAATTTAGGTGAAGTTAATTTTAATATATTTGATTTAAATCAATATATCAACAAAAATTTAACATGTAATCAATGTAAAAAATTATTTTATACATTTTTTTGTTTCATACTAGGTCTTCTAAATCCAGTGTCTATTTTATATTTAAGCAGCATATCTACTTTGGGACTAGTCAGTTTCAAGTACCCAATAGCCACATGTGGCCAGTGGCTACTGTACTGAACAGAACAGGTATAGATTTAGTGGTGTTTGGTTTTGCTATCTGTGTATTCTCTTGGAAGCCACCTTATATCCTAAGGAATCAGATTTTCGGAGTGGTTAAGGACACCCCATCCCTGGCTGGGTGCAGTGGCTAACACCTGTAATCCCAGCACTTCGGGAGGCTGAGGTGGGTAGAACACTTGTGGTATATTATAAATAACTAATAAATGTAATGTTTATCATTTTTATTTTTGAAAGCGTATGTTATAGACACATAGCCATGAGGTTTATATCTGCCACCCCCCCTCAGAATTTAAGATTTTTAAGGATTGTAGGGATTATAAAAAGGAAACTTTTAATTCACAACAGAAATATAAAAGCATCTAAGTACAAGCTTTAGACTTTGTTTTTCAAAGCTGATTGTTTAATTAATACATTATTTTATTGTACCACTAGTAATTTTAGATGGTGTTAATGCTCTAGACAAAGAGAATGTTTCTGCAACACTAATTCCTTCTTCTTTTTTTGATCCAGGGTGAGTTTGTAGATGATGGGACTGAAACTCACTTCAGTATCGGGAACCACGACTGTTACATAAAGGCTGTCAGTAGTGGGAAGCGGAAAGAAGGGATTATTCATACGCTCATTGTGGATAATAGAGAAATCCCAGAGATTGCAAGTTAATGAATTTTAATCTTAAGAAGTAAAGATCAGGACTTTTTAATTACTGTGGTAATTAAATGTGGTCAGTATGTACTTACTAGTACATTTAGTCTGCAATGTTTTTATTTTTTTAAAAGTTACATGAAACTGTAACATTCCAAGGGTCAGGAAAAAAATCAATTAGGTACAGTCATAAAAATTACAATTTATGATGCAAATAATGTAAAATGTTTTAAAGACAAATGGAAAATAAGATATGGACCAAAGTCACTGATGTTCTACAAAAGTAACCTTTACTATAATAAATACTGTAAAAATAAAATGGATGCCGCTTGATATGTGTTTATATGTATGGTTAAGTCTTTATGTGTTTTTAACCTGTGCAGATAGCCTGTTTCTCTAGTTTAAAGCAATTTGTACACAGTGATACAATTAGTTTAACTGAAGAAAATGAGAAACACTTTTTATTTGGAAACCTTAAGGAAACTTCAGATAGTGTCACAATAATTTAATTTAAAATGTGGGTTTCAGAAAATATAGTTGTTTTGTTTAATTAACATGGCGAGGACAAAAATGAAAAGAAATAGAAGCAAACTTGACACCAGATTATCAGGTGCATCCTTAGGCAGTGTTTAAAAAGTCAGAGTTGCATATCTGTGCCTGGATGTGGCACCAGTGTCAGTGCTTCTGTGACTGAATCTGCCAGTGCAGGTGTATGCACAAAGACCAGCCAAGTCAGTATACTAAATGCCTGAGGGTTGGTCATTTCAATACTCTGAAAGTCTTTCAAGGCAAGATATAGTTTAATAGTAGACTGTATTGAGGCATTTCACAAATAATGCCCCCTCACACAGAAGATCAGTAGTGATCTGTGTGAGGGGACATTCTCCATTTTTTGACTTGCTGTCTTCAATATGGTTGCCCTTAGTTACATGTCTAATTAAAATGGAATACAATAAAAAATTCAGTTTCTCAGTCACACTAGCCACACTTCAAGTGCTCAACAGTCACATGTGGCTAGTGGCTATCATACCAGATGGTGTGGATATAGAACATTTCTATCACCACACCAAGTTCCATTGGACAGCACTGGTCTAGATAGACGGTCTCAGGTTGAGTGAGTTGCTCAGTAGTGGCGTAGGATTCAAATCCAGGTTTTTCTGATACTAAGACTTATGCCCTTTACTCCTATCTCCCTGCCATTAACATATTTCCAAGAGATTTTGGGCAGAACCAGGTTCTAACAGCAGGAAAGAGAAACTGAGGGGCAGCAGAGCAGTAAGGGAAGAAGGTTTGGACAGGCCAGGACCCTGACAGGCAACGTGCAGGGTGGCAGGGTGGGTGTATTAAAAAGCCTTTGACTCCTTCCTTCTTTGAGCACCTTTTATTTTGAAGTCTTTACCACTGAAAGCTCAGCATAATACCTTTACAAAAACATTTACAAGGCTGGGCCGGTGGCTCATACCTCTAATCTCAGCACTTTGGGAGGCTGAGCCAGTAGGACTGCTTGAGCCCAAGAGTTCAAGACCAGCCTCAGCAACATAGTGTGACCCTGTCTCTATGAAACAAAAACAAATTTAAGTTTATAAAAGATTTTTACCAAAAAACTTCCCTGCTCTTCCCATTCTGCCCCCTAGTTTTGCTTCACTGCCCCTGGAATACCAGGAAACAAACCAACAGGGACTCTCTGAGGCTTGTTAAACTCACATTTGGGTTTGCTTTCACGGACTTGGGAGCTGTGGTTTGTTTTCATTTTTCTTGAGTAAAAGGTTTATTTTAATGGCCATATTTTATCTGCTAGAAAAATATTTTGTGCCATGTCCAAAAGCAAAGCAACTACTTTTAGGCTTGGGCTTTGAACTGCAGTTATTAGAGGTCAAAATCCGTGATTTGCAGTGGTTATTATGTACCTAAGCAAACACTTGGGAGTACAGTTTGATTCTGTCTTTATGGAGACCAACCCTAGGAATATAGCTTTGCCTTTGACATGGTGAGTCCACGTTTGTTTTGTTTTGTTAAGCAGCACAATAATGTAGAAACAGTATAAACTAGCTCTGAAGTTTGACACAGCAAGTTAAGTTCTTGAGCCTCAGTTTCCTCATCTCAAAATCTGAGGCTATTACTTGTCTTATTTAATTAGATATTTCAGATGTACAAAAAATAGAAAATATAACACAGTTGTAGTATTAAACTAGGTGTACCTATTGCCCAGTTTAAAATCTAAAGCATTACCAATGCAACTGAATACCCATATACCCTCCCTGTTTCCCTCCCCCTCTCTTGTATAACTAATCACTATTGTGTATTTGATGTTTATCATTCCCATGCAAGTTTATATTATTTTACTATATAGGTAGATATCAAAAAGTACAGTATTATTTTAAAATTTAAATGTGATCACATTCTGTGTATCCTTCCTACATCATGCTTTTCCCCCAGTCAACAAAGTTTTTATGTAGGTTGGTATGCGTATCTCCAGTTCCTTTAACTCTGGTATTCAACCACACAAATTCAACTACACATACCCCTAGGTAGTTTTCAGAAGATCATCAATACATCAGTGACTCTAATGAACATCTTTGTCAACATATATATAAAAGGCTCTTACAAACTGATAAGCCAAGCTAATTGTAAAATGGATAAATAGGGCTCATGCCTGTAATCCCAGCACTTTGGGAGGCCAAAGCAGGTGGATCACCTGAGGTCAGGAGTTCATGATCAGCCTGGCCAACATGGTGAAACCCTCTCTACTAAAAATACAAAAAATTAGGCGTAGTGGCGGGGCACCTGCAATCCCAGCTACTCCAGAGGTTGGGGCAGAAGAATCACTTGAACCCGGGAAGTAGAGGTTGCAATGAGCTCAGATCGGGCCACTGTACTCCAGCCTGGGCAACACAGCGAGACTCCATCTCAAAAAAATAAAAAAAAAAAGGACAAATAATAGAAGAGGAAATCCAAACAGCCAACACATTTTTGAAATAAATTAATTTGTAGTTAGGGAAATTATTTTAATGATGAAACCAGAAAAAAGAAAAAGCAATGG